TTTTAATTTTTATCACTTAATTTGTACAGCTGCTATCCTTTTTCAATAACGTAAAACAAGTCATGGGTATCATGGATTTTTCTCAAGCAACGAAAAGTTGGCTAAGTTATAGGGAATTAAAAATTAAAGATCTAAATCACAAAAAAGAAATCATGGAGAAAAATTATAGATAATTAAAAGTTCAAAGACAAAAATTGTGGAAAATTTTAGGGGAAAAATTACAGAATTTTGAAAAAAAAAACGATTTTTTTTTAATTTTATATTTTGCTTTTAACAAAAATCTTTTCGATGATTCACTATAATGGCTTAAGCAATCGAATAAGTATCTTAGTTTTCTATGGCTCCTCACGATTTTTCGGTAGCAATTCTATCAACATTTTTGTCTTTATCTCTACCCATGAGCATGCTATTAATATATGTTATCGAAATGGGAAGAAAATATGGACATTGTAACAATTATTTCAGTAGCAAATATTTTTGAGCAACCTTCACTATAATAAGATAAACCAAAAAGCTATTTATTTTTAGTCTAGAAAAGTACTTTCTTGTACTTTGTTCTAGTTTTGTTTTAGTAGGTGCATATTTCATTCACTTTTCATGGAGCTCATATGCTTTAAGTTTTTATTCTTGGAACATATATATAATAAGAATGTATAATCTTATGCATATGAAAGACTATATTTAATTCAATGTTGGTTTATATAAAGTTTCACCTAGAGAATAGGTATTCTTTTTAAGTAAGAGCTTATTTCTTTGCTAGTTTTAATTAAAACTTAACGAGAGTTTTAAAAGATGCACCTAAAACAATAAACATACCCATGATTGTGTTACCACTTATAATATTTGAATAATAATTTTTTAAAAATTTCACTAAGTGAAAATTAATATCTAGTGTATCAAAAGTCAATATTAACAAGAAAAAATTGATGTTAAATAAAAATCATGGAAATTAATTTATTAAGCATTGATACTGATTCTGATTAATATTAACTAATTTATTATTATTATTTTTTAATTAAAATAATTTAACATCAATTTATTTGATTTTAAGTCGTTTTTATTACTTTTGTAAATAATGTTTAATTAATATTAAAAATTAAATAATGTTAATATTCACTAACTCAACAATAACCTTATTTTTAAAAATTTTATTTTAATCTTTTGAATAGTTAATTAATCCACGTTGATTTAAATAAAATAAATATTAAAAATAAATAAGGTTATTAAGTCAAACAGACACTAATTTATTTATTTTATTTAGTATTTAAATTCCAATACAAACATTTATTTAATAAAAAATTAAAAATAATTTTGCGTTTAATTTATCGTGATTAAGTCATTTAACACTAACATAAATATATATTTATGAAAAAATTTAAAATAATTTGACTGTTTTTTATTTTTTTAAAATTTATTGTTTCATCGTATTAAAGTCGATTAAATCAATATTAATAATGTTGCAATTTGGCTTATGCTAATAATATTTAGAAGTTAAATTAACATTTTCTTGTAATATTTAGAAAATTAAAATATATTAAATTTTAACTATTTTAATTTTAATGCTTTGTCAAATATTTTGTATTGAACAAGTCAATTCAAATATATTGAGTTTAATTTTATTGTTTAGATAAAATATTTAATTAGTATCAAATTTAAAAGTTATTCTAATCGACATCCATCGAAAAGTAGTTTTGTTGAAATTGGTTGAGAAATAATTTTAATTTATTTTTTCATTAATGTTGGCAGAGAAACAATACTAACTAACATCAATTGAAAATAACTCTAATTGAATATATGATATTGTGAGTCCTTGTACATGTTGACTTAAGAGTTACTTGTTATTTTCTTTCTGAACTTGTTCAACACGTGTCTCGTAGAAGATATCAAATCATATAGTTATTTGACTATAACAGTAGGTATTAGAAAGAAAATGTTATGTGACATAATTTCTTAATGACTAAAGTAATAAGAATCAGAATGGAGATGGAATATGACATAGTTCCTTCATTATAAAGTAGATATTAGAATATAAATGTGATATGATAGAGTTCTTTATATTAAAAGTAATAAGAAACAAGATAAGATATAACGAAATGGTTTTAGTTTTTCATAATTATATTTATTCACTTTCTATCTTAATAAATATATTTATTCACTTTCATATTTTTGGATTTATTGCTACTATCTATCTGCTTATTTGCTATTGCTTTCATTTTCAGAATGATGATATTTAGTAATCATGTTCATACTAACAGTAATTTTTCACAAAACAATAAACTTTTATCTACGTTAAAGACAAATCTATTATTGAAATCATTCACTACAAAATATTCTTTGCTTCCCAATCTCATCATATAAGGAAAGAATCAATTTTTCATTCACTACCAATGTTAGTTTTGATAGTAAATATATTTCACGACATTATGATATTCATTCTTCAAAAAACTTGCATTTCACGACATATAAATCTATATATACTTAGATAATCTTGTATTAATTCTATGACGTAATTAGAAGTTTACCTACTTATCTTAAGATAAATTTTTTACTCAACATTAGCAATGGAGAAAGGTAATCAAACATGATGTTATACTTCTATTTTACTAATTGCAAAATTTCGTAAGTGTAGGAGCCTAATTGAATTTTTTATCTTTTATAATAATAAAGTATTTGATTGATAATGGATTAATTCTTTTTTTGCTTATCTAATAAAATAAACATTTTGTTTTTACTTTTTTTATCTTTGTTTAGAATAATCAGTTTCAGATTTATTCTAATAAGAAAATCCTGTCTATTTTTAAATAAATGGTTATTTTAAAAACAGTTCATTTCAAAAATCACTTCAAAAGAATGCAAATATGAGGAGAGAAAAAAGGATGATAAGAATAGAGAACTATTTTCAATAATTTTTTTTAAATGTGAGAAAAATAAAGTGTTTAGTTAAAAAAATAGACGAAATGGAGGGAAATAAAAAATAAGTAAAAATGTAAGAAATAAAGTTTAAAAAATTATAGTAATACAACTTACTTTTTAATTATTTTTTCTATTTTTTTTATTGAAGACCCAAACCATAAATCTAGCTAAAACTAATAAACTATCATATAAAAATAGAAACTTCAAAACCAAATTGACAAATGTAAAATAAAAAAACCCACAAGAAACTTTTCAAACCACACTAATTATAATCCAACACTTATCCAACAGAGAGAAACAAACGAAGAATATAAGAAAATCTACACATGCAAATGTTACTTGTGATAAATACATATAAACTGTTTGACATATATATGTTGCTATTCTTTGCAATGCTTGTGCTGCATTGGACAGTGCTAGAAAAAAGGTTAAATAAATTTATCATGTTTAAGAAGAAAACTACAGATTTGGTGATAGCTAGAAGATTCTCAAAGACATGTTTACACAGATTGCTGAATTGTTACATCAGTTTCAGCTGTACTTTCACCTATCCCAGCCACCTCCACACTAGCTGAATTTGAGTATGACTGGTCCCCAAGTCCAGACATCATCAAGGGCTGCAAGTTTATAGGGTGGTCAAACTTACAAGCTGGTCCAAATTTGCAAATTCCATAGCGACTGTAATGGGAGCAGACACTTTGGTCCTGGATTTCATCACAAATAAAATTGACATTAAATAACAGACACTAGTCAATCAAGCTTGTAGTCCCATTTGACTAAACAAATTAAAAGAAATATCTTTTCAGAATCAGAAACAATCATCTCGTTTTAACAATGCCATGCTTATTCCAAATATTTTAGATTACCACAACCACATGATAAACAAAAGAAAACAATTTTTCCAGCTTTATAGATATAAAAACTTACAGGTCTCAAAGGAAGACCCTTGTCACTGAGGTTGCATGGAGGTAATCTTGCAATCCGATTCTTTGGATGGTGAAATTTACAATTAGATTTGAACTTGCAATCCCCAGTTTTTAAGAAGTAGCTGCATTCAGGTTCACCAGGCCTTTCTGGAAACTCTTCCACGGACATCTGCTTCTGATGGTGCAAGTAAACATTTGTATCGACTGCTGGGTTGTTCAAGACAAATGTAGAAGGTGGATGCATGTTCCTCTCAGGTAGGTAGACAGATGCCTTTAAAAACCACAAATGGGTCAATTTAATCGGAAAACAACCTTTTGCATGAGTTCAGCAGACAGAATAGTTCGTTAACTAGGGTGAACAAGACCACTCAGGTCTTGCATCGCATACCAAAGAGTAAGATGCTTCCCCATAAAAATCAAGGCAACAAAAAAATAATAAGAGACACTAGGGAGGAAGGGAAATGGGGCTGTAGAATGATTACAACAAATCTAAAGATTAGATGCCATAATCATATTTTGATTCTTAAGGATCGGTAATAGGTGCAACTTCAAATTCACTTTTAGGCATAAAGCCAAACATACATTGCTTAATATGCATGATTCTTCAATATATTTGCTAGTGGCAAAATAGATCACACACCAGATCAACAAAACTGCACATTCTAAATCACAAGAACTGTTTTTGTACTAATTGATTTGGGTATATATCACTCAAACCTCAAATGGCTTAATATTTATTTTATTACAGTATTCAGTGTGCTTATAACAAAACATGTAAATTAATGATAAGTCTGCAATAGTCAACAGGTGACAATGACATTATCACACAATTTACGAAGTTATTTAAAAAACATAAGGAAACCAATGACAGGACAATATCAATTTGCAAAAAGGGAAAAAAAAGTGAACGCAACAATGCCAAAGTATCTGCAGCAACAGAGAATTAACATTGCACTACTCCAATACTAATTATATAATAGATTGCACCTTGCCAGATGCTTATTGGTATTGAATCTATCTATTTACCTGGTATCCATTCCAGTCAGAACTTTGGGTAGAAACTCCTTGAGTAGGTGAAAGCATCATTGGCACAAAAGGAGATGCTTCGTTTAATGATCTTGGAGAAGACCAGGAGGGTACAGATGGTCGTGATACACCTTGTAATGAAATAGGTCCTCCATTACCAAACCCTGAAGGAGGATCACATCCTCCAACTGTAGGGTCAGGATGGTTGAACTTGCAGTTTGCTCCAAATTTACAAGAGCCAGTGCGCATGTAGTAGGGGCACTCCCTCTCCCCCTATCATGAAACATGACCTTATTAATATCTAAGAAACAACTATTTTAGAATACTGCAGAAAGAAGCGAACATCACACACATATATATCTTTTGTTATAGGAAAGTAACTAAAATTTTACCTGACGAATAGGCAGGCCAAGAAAGTTAAGTTCAAAAACTGGTACCAGTGCTGGTGTTGTTGAAATTTTTCCTCTTGTGTGGTTATATTTACAAGATTTTCCAAACTTACAACCCCCAGATCTTTGATAATACTGCCATTAGATCAGTAAAAAAATTGTTATGAACATGTCATGAATGGTGAAATTTGTTGATTTTACATGGTTTGAGCAAGAGAAAAATCATATACAAACTTGCTTTTTCCCATCAGTTGCCTTTGAAGTTCCAATAATTTTTTCAACCTAACAATTGATATCATTTACTTATAATTTTTTATCCATTCATTTAAATAGAATCAATGTCATTGTCAGGGTAAAATAAAGCAAACCAGAAAGAGCTAATCAACAAAAATGCCACAAAATAAACCAAACCATCCATCCTGACAGATATTTCACCGTTTTCCCTATCCATGTCTAATGTAAACTATTAAGATAGCATACACCATCACAATCCAAAAACAAGTGACCAAATATTTATTCCAAAAAAAAATCTAATTTAGAATACAATCTATTTATATTACCGAACTGACATCCCACAAGTCCAGAAATGACAGAATATGATATCACCCAAAATTGAACATATAGCATATAAATGATCAATGATCTCAAAGTCGCGGAAGGAAATGAAAAATATAAATTATAAATTAGGTTGAATCACCTTGATTTGACCTTACAGTGACTAACAAACAATCTTCCATGGCAATTCAAATAGCTGGAGGAACTTGTATTTAAATAGTTACAATATGAACATTAAAGCCAAAATGATAATATGCTGAAATGACAGACGTGAGAATTAAAATTTGCTTAGAAGCATAATTGTGAGAATAACCTTGCATTCTGTTGAGCTTGATCTGTCTGTGGGTTCTTCTCTTTCTCCCGCCTTCTCTCTAACAGCCTTTGTTGATCGTTAAAACATCCACACAAAGAACAGCATTTTAAGAAGTGAACATTGTATAATAAGTCTCCAGGCATAAAATGGTGAAGAGAACCACATTGATATTGATATACTCAATCACCAACACCTTATTAAGTCTGAAGAGGTCATAAAGGAGACCTCACAAAAATAGGCAAATTTTGAAGCCTTAATAAGTCATTTTGCAAAGCTATAGAGTAAAAAGACCGACCAAAACAGACACATTACAAAATCATAAAAGCAAACTACCAAAAATAGCACTGCCCCCCAAAATTACAGTTCAATATCAAGTACCTACCAGCCACGATGTAACAGTTCTGACCATTTACCAGTCACGCCAATCAAAAGTATGCCTTCAGCAAAGGCAAACTACTCTTGTTCTCAATCCAGCACCACAAATAATACAATGTCACCGTAAAGGAAACCTCGGAGAAAAGATAACCATTTACACAAGTGAATTGTTCTAAAGCTTAACCTCCAACAATGCAATATTGATCACTACTAGATATCAATGCAAACAAACCAATCATATAAAAACAAAAAGCATCACTAACAAACATAACATCTAAACAAGGAATACATAGAAGAAGAAAGGCACAAGAAGTACCTGGGTTTTCCTTCTAATAGGGTGATTAAACTTGCAGTTAAACCCAAACTTGCAATTCCCAGTTTTCATATAAAATGCACAATCCTCAGCTTCAGGCCTCAAAGGGTAGTGGTGAGTAACATCACTGTTTCTCTCTTCCTTCATCTCCTCTCCATCATCACCATGAACATCACCAATACCAACACCATCTTCATCAGCACCAACACCCACTTCCTCATTCCAACTATTTGAGTCCGAACCCCTACTATCTCCATCACCCTTAGCAGTTTCTTCGTCGCAAACTCCTCCACCGTCGTTCAAGTCGGAAACTTTGCCCTCACTTTCATCCTCAGCCTTCAAATCCAACTTGCTCTGAAGCTCCCCAGAGAGTATCTCATGCTCGGCGGCGTGATTGAGATCTGAAGATTGAGGAGGAGGAGAAGGAGGGGGAGAAGAAGCCCCCAATTGGGGATCTTCGCCATTGGAAATGGAAAGTGGCGCAGAATCGGATTCAGAGCCTTCCATTCTCCCTCCACATTTCAAACCCTAATAACAGAAGGTGGTTTTTGTTGAAAAGAAGAAAAGAAAGGGAATAAGTCGCAAAGAGAGAAGAGAAGAGAAAGGAGAAGGAAAAAGGTTGCGTTTTTATATGAGGGGAATCAAAAACCAGAAGCAGTGTAACTGAAGGACTGAGTGTGAACATAAAAAGAGAGAAAAAAAAGTGTCCTACTTTGTAATCTTTATGTGCTCTGTACTGTTTCTGAAACCATATTGCCCTATGTTTTATTTTACTTCTTGTTAATAAAACCTACTTTTATTTAGATTCTCATCACCTTATAATTATCAACTATTTACATGTTTTGATTTTGATTAATATATCATTTGAGAATTTGGTTGATTTTTTTAGTAAAATTATTTTACCATCTTTTCTTTTTCTTTCTACAATATTCAAACATGGATAATGTTTATATAAATATTGAAATAAGATAGTTTAGAACAAAAACAAGTGTTTGTTTTAGTTTAAGTCCTAGTTTGCGAATCAGGATAATGAAAAATGAGAAAAATTGAAGAAAAAAATAAAATAAATTATAACGTTTATTTTGTTCATTAATAATAGGGTGGATTTTGTATTTTTACCAATGGAAAATGTGAGAATGTATGATGTAATATTATTACATCAATATTTTCTTTTGGGTCAAGTTAAAATAAAATGTGTCAGTTTTACATCCAGAACAATGGAAAGTATTTGACAATTGTAAATAAAGAAAATACATAGGTGGATTTATGGTCTAAATTCATAGTGGCTTCAACAGAAGTAACATCCAACTCAGTTTTATTTTTTTTTTTATTTTTTTTGCACACTTCATTTCTTTGTATTATAAAGTCAAGCATTTCATTATTAAATTATATGATATTATATGATATTTTTCAAAACAATAATATTAATGATTATTATTTTGGTTGTAGGTGAGATCATCTCAGTGGTTGAGTGGTTATTTGGGCATGTCAATTCTATTTTTTTTAAAACAAAATACTTATGATTTTCAGTTTGGGGGAACAGTTCATAGTAATTTCATGTCCATTTAAAACTGCATTTGTGTGATTTCTGAATGACGTCTGAAGAAGCAAAACAATGAATTGGGAGTGTTTGATTTGATTGGTGTGCTTCCACCCTTAATTTAATTTACCTATCATCTTTAATTATGATATAAAATTAAAATTAAAATTTATTTTATAACATATGCTTATTTAAAAGTAAATAATATTAATATAAACATACTATCATATCATATTAAACAATATATTGCAAATAAATTTTATTATTAATATATAATTAATTAAAAAAAATTAAAAGAATATAAACCAATAGATTTCAAAAGAATTTAAATATAGCTCAAACCAAATCTTAAAGGGTCAGAAAACACGAATCCAGAGTTTAATCTATCAAAAATATATAAAAAAATTAAAAAGTTATTTTAAAAATTTAATCAAAATTATATTTTATTGAATGAAGTATTTTAGTTAATTCATATTATTTGAATGTTAACCATTAAGTTAGTGACATTTTTTTATTTATTGATATGAATTGAATTGACAAAATATATATACAATGTGATTAGTATACCACCTACATATGCTTCTTTGCATTAAAGAAGCTCTTTGGTTTACCAATACTCTTAATAGGAACTTTGACTACTTCCCTTCTAACCTCTAAGTTTGACACATATTGAAAATAATTTTATGCAATACCCTTAATATTAAATAAATTGATGTGAATTGTTCTAAATTCTAATGAAGTTGGCTGACTTTTTGGTATTGAATATGACATGTAATGTGTTAAATATTAGTAAATGGTGTCCCTAAGAATAACTATTTTACATATCTAACAGACCAATTTAAATATCCCAAAACTTTTGTATTTTTATTAATTAGATTCAATTTTAGTAAATAAATAAGTTGTGATTGTTATGTAATACATAAGAAAATTTTTATATAAGTTCAAAGAAAGTTAAAGAAAATATGGTATCTCAAATTTATATACTACAATTATCATTATTTTATTATCATAGTAAATTCCTGACTTGATAAAAAGTGACTGAAAAATGAATACTTAAAAAAAATCAACATTTTTCTATTTTGATACGTGTAACTGTCAGAATGATAAAACAAAATATTACTTTTCATTAACTTTCAATATTTCCTGACACCCATATAAAAATATAAACAATTAATAGTTTTCAAAATTATTCTTCTTATTCCTGCTGAACAACAAGTACTTAAATTTAATATATTTATTTCTTTATTTGACTTCACTTTTTACTCTACAGAACATAATAGTAAGAAAACATATCAATAAAATAAAATGTATAAAATAAGATGGCTAGTAAAAGGAGTCAGACAGTTTCATTATGACTGGTGAGCAGTTTTAACAATTACTATTAAAATATAATAATGTATTTACTTATATTTTGGGTTAGGAACTGTGAAAAATAAAGATAGAAGTATGGGAAACTTGACTTGGTAGATTTTTAAAAATTAAAAAGTGAGCAGTTCTTTCATGACTTTAAAAATTATTTTACAGTTATTTGCATATTTTAGAGCGTTTAAAATGGGAAGGTTTTTTTTTATTAAGAGTGGTTATGTGTCAGAAATATTTAAGACTAACTAGAAATAAAAAATATTGATATTGGAAATTATAATTAATGTGGTTTTACCAAGACTATAAACTGCCCAATTATGATAAACTTGAACTGTTCATATAACATTACGTTAAAAAATGAAAAACTTAAACAGTTCACGTTACACTACGTGAGAAAAAAAAACTTTCTCAATCATGATAAACTTGAACAGTTCATGTTATTAAGTTACAAGAAAAACTTCAACCACATACGTACAAACAAAATAATATCAAAAAATATTTATAATTAACATTTGTTTTGGGTGTTCACTTGAATAAAAACTTAAAAACAAATTTAACCCTAATATTTTTTCATTAAATTAATTATAAAATTATATTTAAAAAAAGTTTCAAAACATATTTTTTAGTACTATTATATCTTCATTAAATTAATTATAAAATATGTTTAAAAAAAAAGTTTCAAATTCTTTTAGTAGTCATATATCTCTATTAAATTAATTATAAATTTATGTTTGAAAATAAAATGTAATTAAATTAGTATCATGTCTTTTAATTTTATTATATTAAAAATGACATTTAATGAATTAAAATATTTTTTTCAATAAAATATAATTTTGTTTAGAAAAAAGAAAATATTATAAAATAAAGTTATAATAGAAATAAGAAGAAAAAGGAATAAGAGATATAAGAGATAATTGAAATTAATTTATATATGTTTTATTACTAATAGAAAAAATCACATTTATAGAAAATGTAACCAAAAATAGGATAAAAATCAAATAGTTAATGCAAATATTTAAATATCATACAAAATAAATATTGTAAATATTTAAATATCTTATAGAGTAATCAATATTACAAATATTTAAATATCATAAAAAATAATCAATATTACAAATATTTAAATATCACAAAAAGAGTAATTATATGAGTAAGTGTAGCAAATCAATCAATCATACGAGTAAATGTAGTATATTTATGGACAACACATAACACTTTCCATTAGGTGTCCAATGATCATAGAATGTTCCGTGTGAAAATCTTATTAGGAAATTTTTTTTGAAATAAAAACCTATTGAAGAAAAAAAAATACATCATTATTTATTCTTCAATACAATATTATTCATCACATATTTTGTTTCTCTCGATGAAATTGTTGTGCCATCACACGTGAACAAATATTTTATTTATGAACAATCATTGTGAGATCTGATAAATAACATGCACTTGTCTAATTCATTAGATCTGATTTTTACTAATTTGGATAAATAAGCCCATATTCAAAGTACCTTTAAAATAAGGAAGTATATGTTTTACTCTAGTTCAATGTCTTCTTGTAAGTGAAGAACCATACCTTGGTTAACAAATTTAGAGCAAATGTTATATCAAATCGAGTATAATTAACAAAATACATTAGTGTTCTTATTGCACTACTTATAGACCAAGAAGTTTATCATCTTTTTTCTTATGTTTAAAAAGGCATTTATCAACATCTAGGCCTTGTTCACTTGAGTGGATTTGAGGGAGAGTATTTGAGAGGATTTGAAAATAAAATTTTTTGTTGTTTATTTGAGTCAATTTGGAGGTAAGTGAGAATGAATTTGGAAGTAAAGATTGTGAGAATTAGTGTAGGATTTGATTAACGTGACAAATTAAAAAAATTTACTTCCAAATCCAATCTCATTTACCTCCAAATTCATTTAAATAATCAACAAAAAAATTTATTTTCAAATCCCCTCAATTACTCTCCCTCAAATCCACTCAAGTGAACAAGACCATAATGCCCTCACAGCCATTAAAAGGACGTGACTTGTCCATATAGAACCTCTTTAAGTACCTTTTTTATATAAGATTCTTGATGTACAAAAAACACCTTTATTTAAATACTCAAGTTCTAATCTCAAATAAAAATTTGTATTTCCAAGATCCTTCATCTCAAATTTTTCCTCTTTGTGAGCTTATTAAGAGTTCCAAGATCCTTCATCTACATAAACAATAATTATGACAAATTCATTTTGTAATTTTTCATATAAATATAAGAACAAATATCATTCTTTTAACAAATATTCACTAAGATGGTTATACTATAATGGTCTTTATTGCTTTAATTCACAAAGGAACTTATTCAATTTTATTGAATAATCCTTTTTAGAATTTGTTTTGTTGGGCAAATTAAATCCTTCAAGAAGTCTCATATAAATATGATTTCCAAGAGAATTGTACAAATAGGTTGTAAGATCATCTCTTAGATGTAAATGCATACCTTTTTGTACAACTAGGCTAATCAAATATCGAAATATTGTTGTATCTCATACTAGTGAATATATCTCTTAACAAATCAATACCAGGTCTTTCTGAAACCTTAAGCAACTAATTGTGCTTTGTATCTAACAATTTACCATTCTCGTTTTATTTTTGCGCAAAACATCATTTGTATGCAACGGGTTTTACCCATAGGTGTGTGAACTTCAGGTCCAAAAACATTTCATTTAGCAAACGAATATAATTATGCTTCTATTGCATCTTTCTATTTTGACCAATCATTTCTTTGTCCACAAGCTTCAATGGTCATTGGTTCTTAATCTTCATTGTCACTCATCGCTATATTAAATGTAAAAACATCATCAGTGTTAACTTCACTTTAGTTGCATATTATCTTATTCGTGACATAATTTATTGAGATCTCATCATTTTTAATAATTATGTCAAATAAATCTTTTGGAATTTTTACCTTTTGGATTATATCATCTTGTCTTTTATTTTATTTTCTCATTCAAGAATTTTTATCTTTGGAACAAACAAACTTACTACTCTTCAAACAAATATGAATAATAAATATAGCAAATCATTAATTCATAACAGAGAATAATTAGTTATTATATTCTCTTATAATCAAATTTTATTTTTCTTTTCTTCTTTTATCTTTGTATGATTTCATTCCTTGACTCTCCTTATTTTCTTTACTATTATAAATTTTTTCTTTTGAGAAAAAAATCATTATTTAAATCTCATACAAACTATGTATACTAATATTTTTATTTTTGTTTCTGGTTAGTATACTGTGAGAAAGTTTTTCTATTTTACTTTTTAGTACTTTTCAATTAATGGGATTAAAGAGTTTTTCTATATATATATATATATATTTTAATGAGAAACTAAAACTTTTGCTTGAACTAAATATCAAAACTATTAATTAGATTAAAGTTTAGTTTTTTAATAAATAATGAAAATGAAATAATGAATAAACTATTAACACAAGTTGAAATTGAAAAACGTGTCAAAATTAAATAAAATTAATTACGATGATTTAATAAATAATTTTATATAAAAAGTTTATAAATAAATTGTAATTATAAAATTTCATTCTTAAATTTGTTTTAAGTTTCTAAACCCTTGAACCACTTATACATGTGTGTGTGAAGTTAAAGGCAAGGAAAAAAATATACCGAAAAGGTTTGAACCAAAATTTAAATAATTATGAAATAGAAAACAAAATTATTTCCTTTAGGAAAGGCCGAAAAAAAAAGGAATTAAGAAGCGTTGGAAATAAGTAGCAAATTTGTAGATTTTAAAAATTAAAGTAGGTAGTTTTAACAATGGTTTTAAAAATTGATTTATTTAAAAATATAACAGGGCATTTCTAAAAAAAAGTTACTTGACCAGAAAAGGATTTAAGATTGAATTATAGATTAAAAAGTGGAAATTATCAGTTAGCTGTTACATTTTTTGCAAGAATATACACCATCAACAATTAGATTATGTACAACTTACATATAGCTTATTTAACATTATGTTAGAAAGCAAAAGCCTTAATTTACAAATATAATATTATAATAGTAAATAGAAAATATGTATTAACATATCAACACATAATTGAATCATTAAAACCTAGATTTGAATGCAAATGAACAAAATAGAGCATATGGCTGGCGAGGACAAAGAGCCAACTAATGTAGGAGCTAGTCTTTCAAAATCTGCATCCGAAATCACAAAATCTGAAATTACGATTTATTCCGTCAAAATGCCGACGGGCATGAAACGAATAATTAAAATAATTCAACTAAATCACCCTATATCCATTCAAATGCTAACACTAAATTATGAAGGCATGTAACTCATTATAAATAAAATTCAAGAATAATAAGTTATTAATATTGAAATGAGATATTTTATTTTTTAAATTATAAATCTAATATAAAATATTATATGATTAGACCTGATTTATAAAAATCAGATACTATAAGAATAGAATATTCTGTATATAAAAATATATGAATGAGAAATCATAGAATAAATCATATTTTCCAATTTGTTACCAGAAGTTCGAATATTTTTTTCATTCCATAAATTATTGGATCTCTTTACTTATAGTTCAATATAAAACTATCTTTAACATAAGTATCATTTTAAATGAATTCAACTATGACGAATTATCACAAATAAATGAAAATGCACATTGGAAAGGAAAAATTGTCCCTTATCCTTGGAAAGTGGAGCCTCAAGAAAAGAAAATGAGAGATAATTGTATGCTGAAAATCAAGAAGGATATCTGTCACAATCCACAAACCAAACAATTTTTCAGAAGACCTCGATATATTTTTCCCCAAATCTGAAATTTAGGGGAAGAATTATGATAAAATTCAGATTTTTCTTTTAGAAGAAGTAGATAATGAGTTCAGATTAGAGAAATGGGATTAACAAAGTATATCAGAAGATGATGAGAGCATGTAACAATACGATGAGAGTGCAATAATTTGATGATCAACAACCACGTAATGAGAAAGAACTTGAGGATGTCGAGATCGAAGGTTTGCTTTTTGATGCCTGATAATATATCACACCAGTTGTATCCTCAAGAACCTAATATAATAAAAAAAAAAAATTGCCTAACTGTGTCACTATATATTCCTAAGCCTACTTATGATTATAACCTCACCATACCCTATCAGTAACTACATTTGTAACTAAAATCTGTCTAACTCAAATATTATATTTATAAGTCAATTATCTACTATATTTATTTCTAAGTAAACTTTAGCTGACTCCACGTGAGAATTGATATATTTTCTAGTTGGAAAGAACCAGCTTATGATAGTATAAAGCATGTGAAGGTTGTTAGTTTTTCATCCAAGAATAACTTGATAAAGAACACTTTGGAATTGCAAAATATTGATCTGAAAACCAGTTTGCAGATATTCTGACCGGAAAGCCAAATTTTTGAAAGATTATTAGACAAGTTGAAAATGTACTACGTCCATTTACCAACTTGAGAAAAAAAGAAGCGGAAATGAAAATATTTATTAGCTAAATTATATATTTGTATGGTGGTACAAAATATTGTATAATCAGATCGGTATAGAAAAATATAAATGAAAATCATATATTTTGTAATTATGGTAAAAACTATAATTAGAAACATACACAACTTCTTTAGCGGAGGATGGCAGGTGTACTAGTCTTTCCACACCTTGGCAGCTTATCGGTGAAACCTGCCAGTGAATCCCCGTCATTTTGCATCCTTAAATTGTTGCAAACCTGCATTACACCTATGAAAACAAACAACCATTTCAGGCGACTCTATCACTTTAGTGAAACTTTAAAACAAATTTTTCGAAACAGTGACAACTCAAAGAACAGAAACTAAAATAAACTTTAACCATTTTGGCAGAGAGATTATCCATGATGAAGGGGCAATAACACAAGTAGAAGAAAGAGTCCAATTAAGAAATTTGCACCATAAAAAGAACACGGGTCATGCAGGAGACATATCAACGAAACAGCTAAAATAATTGTTAATTCAGACAGCTCAGAAGTTTTGTTGCGTTAAAAATCTAAGACCTGAAAAAAAAATTGGATTACCCTACCTTAAGGTTTACCATCTCCTTTTAGGAAAACGTACAACATGATCTCCCCTGTCAGGAGCAACATGCACAAGTTCACAGAAATAGTCTCATCCTTCGATAATAAAGCCCCATTCTCAGGCTTAAAACGTTTCATTTAATAGCACATGAAGCAACTGAATCCACATTGCCGCTCCTACAAGACATACAGCTCTTAACTATACAATACTTACACTTAATAATTGAACGGCATAATTTCAAATAGGAAAAGAAAAAGAAATTCTGAAGCTAACGGTATCCTCACCTTTAACTGATCATTGTGATTTGAAGTGTTATTGATAATGAATATGAAGAACAGCAGCAATCAACACAAAGAATAAGCATCAAGCACACCATCAGCAGCACTGAATCCAACACAAAATAATGGTAGAAGTGCAGATACTTCTTCTGTTAAAGTTCTCTCTCCCATTGTCCATGACTCGTGTAGGAATCTACAATCACCTACCAACAGGGTCCTGATAAGAAAGTTCCAGGAAAAAGTATCACACGGTCACACGTGATCAAGCAGAAAAATGTAATCCGAAAGAATTTACAGAGGAAACCAACTCTTAATTGATCAATTTATCATCATTAATTTTACAACAGATTCAACACAATTTTAATTAAGAAAAGAGAGAATCAGTGAAATAGAGAGAAACAAAGGCATAGACACTAGCCTGGTTGTTTGAAAGACAGATTGTTGGCCAAGTGAACTTAAAACCACTCAAATGACATTATTAATATTGAACCATTTTCATGTATCTTTATCATCCTCTTCTTTCCTCATTTAAATCACCATCACAGCTCTTTTTCTGTTTCTGTAATTCAAATAGAATAGGGGTCAAAATAAAGTACTAAAAGTAGTATGAAAACGGGAAACATGGTAAAGAAAAAGGAACTGTAAGCAAAGAGTATGGACGAGAATAGATTACTAAAAATGACCACATGCTGATCTTAAGAAGATTCTCCATATGCCACTTCCACTTCAATCTATTGGTGATTGGAAATTCGTCATCCAATGAGTTGGTGTAGGGTAAATAGAAGTCATGACCATGCTACAGAAAAATGTGCCTGCTACCATTCCAAAGATCAGACCCATAAAATTTTGTGAACAGTTGGAATCAAAAGAGCATGACTTAGGTATCTCATGAGTAGGACCTTCTAGCTTGGAATATGAATTCCGCACCAAGCAGGAGAGATATGCGATGAATGATAATCATGTTTCTATATCTAAGAAATTGCTTTGCTTGCTACTATAATAAATGGGTACAAAAACACCTTACCAAGCAGAATTAATAGTTATTCCCAATGACAGATTCAGGGAATATATCCTAAACTGTTAATTAACACCTAGCCCTAGACGACATTGAGCAATATATTAATAAATTTGTCAACAATGCTAACATCTATCACTAGCGCACATGCTATCAACAATTCTTTTTGGTTGCATGACCAGTCTTTCGCTTATGACGACTGAAATCAGAAACAAATCTAAATGTTTGCCCACACCCTGGCTCAGCGCACACATAAGGACGAGCACCAGTGTGGACTCGAATGTGCTCAGTGCGTGCCCATGCCCACTTGAAACTCATCTTGCACCCTTTCCAAGGGCACTTCAATGGGCGGTCATCCTCATGAACTCGACGATGCTGCACTAGATATTTGTGTGAGAAAAACTTCTTTCCGCATCCTTTCACAGGACAAATATTTCTCTTGTGTTGCAACAGCTCCTGTTTAGACCCAAAACTCATGGTACATCCCTCGATGTCACATTGATATTCTGATTCCTCATCCTTTGTTTTGGCATGGCCAACTAAAACCTTTGCAGCAGTTGTATTCTTCTCCTTTTCCCTTTTGGTTCTCTTTTCTTTCAATTTTCCTTCTGACTCTTTTTCTAGGACTCTCTTCCTAAGTCGCGTGCGAGGTCCACCATCGTCCTCCTCTTCCACATGTAATGTTAAGTCTTTGGAGTTACCAGATTGATTCTTTGTCTGCCGAGCAGCCTTTGATTTCATTTGCGTATGAGCACCTTGTTTCTGTTTGGCAGGATGGGATGTCTTGTTTCTTGCATGGCGTGGATTAGTTTGTTTCGTTTGTTGAAGAATCTGTGCTTTAGACTGCTTACTTTGAAGAGTTCTTTTGTGCTGCTGATGCAAAATATCATCCATTTGATCATCTGAATCTATATTGTCCTCGTCCATACCTTTAACTTGCTTCCTTTTACGAGTTCTATACAGTATATGAAAATTATTTTCTGCCAAGTCATCCATAACATCTTTATCATTGTATTTATTTTGCCTGCTCCTTCGAGTACTTCTTTGGGGCTTCTGAAAGTCATCCTTCAACTGGTCATCAGACATTACATCTTCCTCCTCGATTAACTTCACTTGCTTGTTTTTAGGTGTTGGAAGTCCCACATCGACTAGAGATAAGGCCAATTTATAATATATAAGTGAGGTGCAAACCTCACCTTACAAGCCGGTTTTGTGGGGTTGAGTTAGGCTTAAAAACTCACTTTCTAATATGGTATCAGAGCCATGGTTAGTGCCTATCCTAGCGAGTTCTAAGTGGGCATTCTATTCTTCTATTCCACCCGCAATCGGGCCGCTATTGGACCACCCAATTTCTACTATCACGCACGAGATGTCTATACCTCGGCGTGAAGGGGGTGTGTTGGAAGTCCCACATCGACTAGAGATAAGGCCAATTTATAATATATAAGTGAGGTGCAAACCTCACCTTACAAGCCGGTTTTGTGGGGTTGAGTTAGGCTTAAAACCCACTTTCTAATATTAGGAATCCTTCTTTGACACTTGAAAAACCGACCCTCCATTTGGTCATCAGATGTAATATTCTCTACTGCAAAGTGCTTGTCTTGCCTGCTTCTCAGATTCCTTTGTTGCTGCTTCTGCCTATGGTGCTTCAGACCATCTTCATTTTTAGCAGAAAGTGATCTTTGTCTGCCTTTAGATATCTTCCCTCTCTGCTTCCATAAACAAACCTCCCTTTGGTCATCAGAAATCACGTCTTCTTCAGTAATGTATTTATCATACTTGCCTTTGGGAGTCTTTCCGTGCAGCTGAAGAGAACCAGCACTCAATGAATCGTCTGAAATAGCATCTTGCTCATTGCTAAGCTCCCCCCTCCGCAACCAATCAGAACCATAGTCCATTGTATCATCTGAAAACACATCACTGTCAATTAATTTAGCTTCGTTGGTGTTAGCCCTCCCCCGATGCTGTATACAAGAATCATCATCCAGCAAATCATCAGACATTGCATCATCTTCACTAGATTCTGAATGCTTGGTTATAGGCTTTCTATGAAGTGGCAGAGGAGAATAATCCCCTTCCGAAGCAGTATCATATCTCTCAATATGCCTGGAGCGCTTACCCCCAATAATCCTCCTTTGATATTTATTGGATTTATCTTCAATGGAGTTATCTGAAAGCCAATCTCTCTCAACAAAGCTTTCTTCCCAGATTCCTCCTTTCTCAACAGATTTTTTCCATTTCTTACCAGATTTTCGAGTTGAGGTATTGCTTTTGTGGTTGCTTTCTGATCTCTCAATTTTCTCATCAGGCAATGGCCACCCATGTAAGCTTGTTTCATCCTCAACATCTTCAGAATCTCTTTTGGCTAAAAGAGGATGGACTTGATTGGACATCCAAACTTTGCCACACCATTTCCCAGCAACTAGCTTTTTCTGCTTGTTGGTCCTTCTCTGATAGACCTTGGGCTCTGTAGGCGAGCTTCCTGGAGAGCTTTGACCAAATGCTTTATATATAACAGAATTGTAAGGAATCTGCTTACTGTAAAGTGCTGAACGGCTAAGATTGGCACTATAAAAGAGATTGATTCCCAGCTTTACAGCCCAGTCCCCATTTTCAGGAATAGCTTCCTCACTATCCAGAGCTGATTGGATCCTCTCCTCATCTTCCCTGTTGGCCTGCCTGTATACAGTATTCTTCCACGTATAACCAATCCCCAGTTCTTCTGCCACAAACTTTGCTTCAGCCTCTATCTTTGGATAATCTGTAGAAATAAGCAAAACAAATCATGAAAGATTGGCAAGGAGGGGAAAACGAGTTACAGTATGCTTTAAACACTGTAAAGACAAACTCACAAATATGAAAAAATGCAAATAATGACCGAACATCAATCAGTAGCAATGAGTTCAAACACTATACACAAATTACTATGGATACTAATGGTAGCAAATGTTCACTCAAACCATGAAATAGGTACAGTTTGTCCATGTAGAACCATAAACATCAAACTTCATATGTGTTTACATCTTCAAGGATAATGGATCAATCAGACCACTTGAAGTTTGCTTATTAGCATACTTGAACAGACTTATCAACAGGGGGAAAAACTCACATTTATTACCATGCAATCTAAATTGAACAAATATTCCAACAAAGACTCCCATGCTTAATGACCAAGGGACTTCAGACAAACAAGGCAGTGTATTTTTCCGAAGAACTTGGGCTTGAGATAAAAATGCAGTACAAAATGTGTTCCATTTTTAATAAAAAAAAAACAAAAACAAAGGGGAGTACTAAATTATTGAAATATTAGACCTGGATGACATAGGAGCAATATGTGTGCTCCTCCGATTGGACGAAGTTGCTGCTCTGCTTCTACAGCATGCTCTAAACAAAAGATATGCATTCTAGACGAGTCTTCATCAGTGTGAGTATCTTGGGAACAATTCAAGGTGGGATGGGGCACAGCCCTAGTATTTCTAAATGCCACCCCTGAAGTGTTGTCATGATCTTCTGACTTAACAGAGTAGTCAAAAGGAGTCATAATTTGCTCAAGTCTCTTATGCATATAATACTCATAATTGTCTTTTCTTCTTGAATTAATATCATCTCCTTTATTAAGTCTAATGACTCTAACCATGGGACTAGTATGGGGATCTTGAAAATGAGAAGGCATACTAGACATCTCCTGAGATTCATTAGAGGTTGAATGGTTTACTGCATTCAATTCATCATCATCAAGTGCAATATCTAATCCCCCCCGATCTTCCTCAGAGTCAGAAGAATTTCCATACGCTGATGCCAATAATGCAAGAGCTGTATTGCCTTTTTCTCTTCCAGAATTTAAAGCCTCCTCATAATTTTGATCAGCAATCTGTGCATGGTGCTTAACAGATTGAATGGGAACACCATTTGAATCATGTTGGGCATTTTGTTTAGTCCATCCTGCATTGTGGAACAAGTTGTGTCATTGGTAAGGAAGATTGAAACTAAGAATTCATATACAGAAAAAACATGTTAGAGAAAAAGTAAAAGAGATACAAAACAAAAGGCATCTGGCTGCTTAGAAAGGTAAGTTGCTACTTTTCATATGCACATCATAAAGGCTTTGCCATATTCATGCACATTTTTTCTCTCTCATTATGTAAAGAATGATAAGCACATGGCAGGACCACTCTGTGATTCAGCATTCAAGAGACAAATGTATAACTAATCAACTCAAGGATCTCCCTTGTCTACAAGAACACTGCTGGACCCATACCAGACAGGACTAAAGCCAAATGACTTTGCCCTCAGCTAATATGGTACTATCAAAGGAAATATTTGTTTTAATGAAAAAAAGAAGATGAAGATCATGTTTCAAAAAATAGTTGCAAGAAAAATCTACTCACACCACAAC